ACCTCCACCGAAGGTGCTTTGAAGAAGCAGAGAGGACCAGGTGGCCTTGAGCACCTTGGAGACGCAACTGGGTTGCCGGATGCTTCCTTGCTGGGGGGGGCGGGGGGCTTCCGTACTCTGATGGGGGAGATCAGTCGCTTTGTGGGGGTGGATAGTCCCGAGCGGTGTGCAGACCTGCCGGCATGGCCAGGAAGCAGCTGCGGCCTCGCGCTCCGCCTGTGCGAAACGGTGCTCGCCGTCTTCGGGCTTCGTTTGCCGATTCCGGAGCCGAGCGGCCTCCCAGCCCTCGGGGTGCGGAGCTGCTGTTTGTCTAGAATAACAGCCCGGCCCTGGGGAGGATGGTCCCCTGTGCAGGGACAGCGCAGCGATGGAGAAACCCTGCCCCCGCCCCCGCCGGAAGCGTGCCCCCGCCGTTGCTTAGCGATGGAGGCCGCACTCATTTTCCTTCTGGAAATAAATTAGTGCTTCCTTTGGAGCTCCGGGTTCCGAGGCCACGGCGAGACCGGCCCTGCCCGGGGCCCTCCCAGCCCGCCGGCCTGCCTGGTCTGGACGGAAGCAGGTGCGGCCTCGCCCGGGGGGGGGGGGGGGCACCCCCCCCCCCCCAGCAGCGGGGCTGGGCGTGCGCCCGGCGTTGCAGGGCAGCAGAGGAGGCTTAGCCTGCCCGGGGGGGGGGGCCTGGGGCCAACTGGCTGGGCCGGCCCGCCTCTCCCTTCCCGTGCCCTTCCCGTGCTGCGCTGCCTCAGTGAGGGCGGCTGCGGGAGCCTGGGCACACGGCCGGTTTCTTCTGCCCCAGGAGAGGCGGGGCGGCTGCCTGCCCCAAGGGGGATCGTCTTGCTCTCCGGCACCAGGTTCATTTCCAGCCTTAAGCCAGGATCATGCCAGGCTGGGCTGAGGCTGGAGAGGGCCAAGCTCACCCTCTGGAGGACAGCATCCTCGGGTCAGCGCTAGGCTCAGTCTGGAGACCCGCGAAGCAGCAGTGAAGAGAGTGCCTTGAGTGTGTGCAGAGTTCTGCAGCTGGTTCCTGAGTGCCGGATCCTCTTGCCATGCACTGGCAACGAGGGCTCCCCAGGGTTTCGGCCAGGAAGCTTCTCCAGCCCTGCGGGGCAGTGCCAGGCACCAGAGTGCCACGCAACTCTGTGGGCAAAGAACATGCCGTGCCATCCGACCCCGGATGCCGCAGGGGCGCATCCGAGACACACAGCCCAGTAGCCACTAGGCCGAGGTCCAGGGTGGGCGCTTGGAGGAGTGGCCTTCTTCCAGGAGTGCTGCAAAGCCCTTGATCTGGATTACGGCCTTGGCAAGGGGAACACGGGGTCTGCCCTCCGCTGCGCCCTTGCTGGTCAGAGAGCAGGCGCAGCTCGGGGCCCCAAGTGGCCTCCCCCCTCGGTTTCTGGCTCCAGGGATGGTGGAGCAAGGTTCGGACTGGACTGTTCGCACCACGGGGCGAGGGGCCGAAGGAAAGGGCCCCTACAGACCTATTTGCTAATCTACAGGACACTGATCTGGGGAACGTTGCAGGGCCAGGCCTCACCACCAGGCCCCGGGGCTGAGGCTGCAGAGACACAGGTGCCTCTGCGAACATACAGAACGCCTTTCCTCTGGTTACTGGAGGCTGCAGGGGACAGCACAGGAGAGACCGCGAGCCCTTCTATCTGTCAGTCTGCAATGCTGGCGAACAGGCCTGCTCTGCACATTGACTGGGATGCTGCCTTGGAGAGCGGGGCGGGGGGGGCAGAGGGGAGAGGCACCTCCGAAGCCGGAAGATGCCACTGCGGTGAGGAACAGAGCCAGGCGGCCAGGCAACGCGCCGTAGCGGCTTCGCCTCTTCATCCAACACAGGGCTCCTTCTCTTGTGCTGAGACTGGACTTGACAAACCCAGGTGGAGGAAAGCGGTACGAAACAGACAAAGACAGAGCAGGCTTAAAACTGGCCTGGTTAGGAGCGTGCAAACGCGTGCCGTTCCGTCTGCGGCCAGGCCTGCCTTTGCCCATTTCCACTGTGAGCCTAAAGGTCTTGACACGCGTGTCCAGGTGAGGTTTGTGTGCGTCTATGGGGCTCAGCCGCAGGCGGGGGTGCAGAATCGCCGCCAAAGCGGCTCCGCCAGGTTCTTCTTCCTTCAACCGCGTCTTGCCTGGGCTGAGAGCGGCAGCGCTGCAACGAATCGGTGAAATCAGAAAGGATCCTTGTGGGACGACGCATGGCCTCGGTGTCTCGTCCTTCGTTGCCAGCCAACACGCAGCGGCGCTTCTGGAAAGCCCTGCCAGGCCGTCGGCGCCCTCCTTCCGCCGATGCGCTTCCACCAGCAGCTGCCCCCAGCACCAGCTATCTGCCCCTGAATATGGCCGGAAGGCGGCCTCGGAAGGCTTGGGGCATGTGCCTCTGAGGGAAATTAGGTTGCTGGGAAGCACGGGCAGATTCCTGAAACGATGTCAAGTCTTCACATCATGTGAGAGGAAGCGCAGCCGGAAAGGAAGAGGGGCATGACGCTTCGGATTATCTGGCCCTCGTGGTCGGCATGGCCAGTCGCCGCCACACAAGCACATGATCTGTGCGCAAGGAGGACAGACCGAGCCTTCTGGCCACAGGCCCCTCGGGGGCAAGCGGGGAGGCCCTCTGGGGGCGGGAAGAGCTCTGCCAAGCCCTTGCCGGAGCGCCCGGCGGCCCTGCTCTCCCACTGCGGCAGAGCCCACGGGCCCCCCAGCCACGCCACAAGAGGACCTTGCTCGCGGCACGGGGACGAGCTGTGGGCCGCGGCTGCTCCCTGGAAATGGGGAGCAGAGTTCTCTCAGCCCCCCATTCCCAGCGGAGCCCTCGCTCGGCTTGCACCGAGTGCTGGTGTGGGGAGCTTGCAGCCCTGCAGGCGCCGTGTGGGGCAGATGCACCCCAGCGAGCCCTCGCTACCGAATGCCACCCGGTTCAGCTGGGCTGCACGAGGCCTCGTCCAGCCCCAGCCCAGAAGCTCGAGGGCGGCGACCCCGCCGGGCTTGTGGGGCAGCTGGGGGGGCCCTCGGGCCACGCCGGCTGGGGCTCACCCGCGGGCTGATGGGCCAGAGGCTGGCGCCTGCTTTGCCCCCTTGCAGCCCCCTGCCAGCGTCTCCACGTGACGCCCAGCCGAGGGAGGCCGGAGGGGGCAGCTTTTCCATCAGCCGCCCTGGAGGCCGGGCCCCTCCGGGGGGCTCCCGGTCCTTCCGGGGCTCCCAGACAGGCCGCCTGCCGGGAGGAAACCGGGGGGGGGGGGGCTGCCGCACCAGGCCCGCGGGGGCTTCTGGCCGCCGGCCTCCGGGCGCCCCTTCCCACCGGCGCTCCCCGCCCGCGATCGCCCCGCCTCGGGGCCCCGCAGGCGCGCTGGGCAGAGAGCGCGAAGCGGCCCCTCCGCGCCGGTCCGGCGAGGCGGCCGCCGCCCCCTTGCGGGGCCAGGAGGGACGCCTCCCGCCCGCCTGCCCGCCTGCCCGCCGGCCTGCCTGCCGCGCACGCCGCCCGCGAGGGGAGGGCAGGGCAGGGCAGGGGAGGGGAGGGGAGGGGAGGAGCCGCTCCCCTCGCCGCCCCGCCCCGGTGCGTGGCGCACCAGAAAAGGCCCGAGCCGGCGGCGGCGGCGGCGGCGCGAGGCGAGGCGAGGCGAGGC